CTTGAGCTAACAAAGGGTTCGAATCTGCTGCACTGTTAAACCCAATTCAATTATCAATCCTTCATACACTCCACTAATACTTTGACAAGTGCGGCAATTCCGAACAACATAGTTAATGATGTCACTCAGTTCGTGCTCAACGCATCATCATGAAGCATATTTTCGACTGATGCATAGTACTTCCTGTTGTGGTGACTAACATTGCGTTACAACGTCTATCATAATATATCCAAGTGCTACATGTAAACTAGCACAAAGTAATTTCGGAGCATCATGCTGATGCTAGTGTCCCGTGTGACTTATGGACGACTTTTTACTTTCCCGTAACCGTACGTATGTATATAAGGAGTAATCTACGTAACGTAGTATAGGGAAGGTTATGTAATGCTGTGGAAAATCGATTTCGAGATTTCAACGGAAATATACTGGTTTGGGGTCCCCCGATACCGAAAAAGTGTTGCTGTTATTTGTTTTGTTTTTTTTACGTCCGTCTGGTGTCTGTGAACAGTACTAGCGCCTAAACCATACGTGGGATTGTTTCCAAAATGAAGACACTCCTGTCCATCTGGCTTGAGTAGAAACGTAGACATTTTGAAAAAATCTACAAAATTTGGGGGGTACTTTAGTTGAAGCTCTCCTGTCATTTTCAAAATTATCTCAAAAATGGCTCCAATTTTTTTCATTAAATTTCTTGTAAATATAGAGTAAAATACACTTATAAAGGTGGCATAGCACCGGGAGAATTTTCACTGTTAACTCTGCATTTTCGAAAAGGTCAAAAGTATGAATTTTTCGGTGTCTTTCTACAACTACAAAATGGAAGAGTTAGAGAATATTACTTCAAATACAATTTGTTCTCCCCAGTGAGTTCTTTTATTAAGGTCATGTACATTTTTTGAAAATGTTAGTAGTTTTTGCGCAATATTGCGTGAAATATGTGCAAAAAAATACATCGTGATCTTTTCAAAAATGGCTTCAAATTTCTTCTTTGAAGTTTTGGTAAGGAAGAGCTAAACAACTTATTGCTCTATTCTGTTGTTTTTTTCAAAAATGTAATTTTTTGACATGTCTCTCGTCGTTAATATTTATATTAACGGTAATACGTTCAAATTATTCAATTTACGAGTACATGTGCTTTAAATAATGTCAGATAAAGTTTCTCGAAAACTCTACCATTTTCTGTGAAAATTAGCCCAAAATACCGCTTTTTTAGAAACGCTCAACGTCATTATTTCGAAAACGGCTTCAATTTTTTTCTTCAAACATTTCGAACGGATAGTGCTAATTGCACTCTTTAATATGAAGTATAGTCCATTTCTGTTTTTTTAAATTACACAAATGTAAAGTTTTTAAAGATCTTTCAAGCCGTTGGTGTGCACATTTCCAGCTATTTGTAAACAGTATTGTATTTGTGAGTTAAAGTTCTTAAAATTACTTCAAATGAAGTTTTTCGAAAACTCAAAACTTACGCCAGTTTTTTAAAGACGGCTTCAAATTTTTCAATGAAAATTGGATACGAAATAAAGGTAGTACGTATCGAAAACGATAATAAAAGGAAAAAAAATAACTACAGGGACTACAAGTACTAAGAAATGTTTTTAGCATTTTTTAATATTTATCCATTTAAAATATTTTCATTTATTGTAACAATTTGCATATAAATCAAATTATTTAGTTAATATTTAAATGTTTATGTATAAGACTAAAAAACAGAATAATTCGAGCAAATATTGGAAAATAAGATCGCTACGTAACACTAAACTAATACTTCCTACTCCTACATAAAGCAGTTGAATTGTGCCTCAACCTCCCTCCCCCCTCTAGTGTTACGTAATTTATGGACAGCCCCTCACTGTATTTTGATATTAGAAAAACAAAAAAATTAAGAAAATTTGGAAAAAAATTATTTTAGACGCCGTTAGCGAGCAGCTGGGAACAGAATGGGGACAAAACCGGAAATATAACACAGGCCTGCATGAAAAACCTTTTTTGAAAATTTCAACTGACCCTTATGTATTTTTGTACGCTGAAATCGAAAATGCAGCTAGAAATGCCTCATCACGCATTGAGTATTCACAAATTGGCTCTAATTGTGCTGTAGGTCACTGGCAGTTTTCTCTATTTAGCATACAGTTTAGTGACGCCATCTATGAACTGGTGGTAGAATTTGAAGTTTTTTCTCCAAAAGGCAGCATGTAGCTGTTTGTGGTAAGAGATGAGGGTTTAAACCACGGACGTCCAAGATAGATGCACAAAGGAATTGGATGACTGGCGACCTTTCATGGATTCATAAAAAAAATTTAAAAAGTGCTATTACACAACGGCAACGAGTATGCTTCAATACGTATGGGACATTCAGTTCACCTCAAAGCCACTTACGAAAATCTTGAACTGATCCTTACTAAAATACAGTATGACAATCACATACTGTATTTTATTGGGTGATATGTGGAGATCTGAAGAAGTTGTGCATGTTTCTTGGACAACAGTCTGGGTACAAAGTTTTCTTGTTTCCTTTGCGAACGTGAACCACTGAGACCAATCAGAATGCCCCCCCAAAAATATTACAGAACCACGACGTAAGTATATTTTAAGTAAAGGTCTTATTGATTGAAAGAAAATTCTGCTACCACCTGTGAATAAAACATTAGGGCTCATGAAATAGTTAACTATTGCTCTGTCAAGATATGGGACGTGCTTTAAACATCTCTGTGGTAAGTTCCCACACCTCTCAGAAACCTAGGTAAAGGAATTTTCGTTGGACCAGACATGAGAATACTTGTTAGATGATTTTTCCTCCACGGTCACAGATACTGAAAAAGACCTTGGATTTCCTTTGAAAGAGTGTTTAAGAACTTCCTAGGAAACAAGAAACACGAGAGTTATGCAATCATCGTTAAAAATATGTTGAAGAAGATTAAAGATTTGGGATGTTTGATGAGCTTCAAGATTCACTTCCTGCATAAACATTTGGATTTCTTTCCTGAAAATCATGGTGCGGGAGAACATTTTCACCAAGATATTAAAGAGATAGAAAAGAGATATCAGGGTCGATAGAGCATAAATATGATGGGTGACTGCTGTTGGTTGCTCTACCGGGACACGTCACGGGCATACTTGAGAGGGCGAGTAATACGCACAGCTCCACACAGAAAAAAAGATATAAGACAAATATTTTTTTTAGAAATAAAAAAAAATATTAAATGGTTTGTATAATTAAACTTATGCATTATTTGGTAGAAAACGTGTTTTTTTCTCATATACCCTTAATAAACAATGTAATGTCGGTTAGCCACAAAACTTCATAGTGCGTTGTGAAAAAATGGTGCATGATGGGATAAAACGGAGCTCAGATATGAAATCAGCACCCCAAAAAACTATATATTTTGCATACATTTAAAAAAAAACGTTTTTATGACCATTAAATTTGGAGGCCTGTGTAATCCAGACGAAACAGATTAGTAAATTAACTAGTACGAGTAATTTTGTACCATTCTGTAGACCCGCTGGTTGTTTTTTACGGAAACCGGGACATTTAGCGTCCTGAACATATTTGAGAGGGCATTTGCTGAAAAACATCGGGATGTCCCGGCTAAATTGGGGCGTCGGGGAACACTCGACTGAGCACAATGATCTTGAGATTAATCATTTCAAGGTCACATTGAAACTGAGAACATTCCAGTCGAATTCTGGAGGAGAAAGAGAGGACATAATTTATCTTTACTCCTTCTCAATTTTCGTGCTTGGTCTTTGTAATTGTCTCAGTTTGAAGTGGCAAAGGTATACATGGACAGTATCATTGTATAATTCCTGCGAATTATTTTTTTTTCTGTTCACAGACACAAATCCTCGCATTGCTTAAAAGGTGGAATGCTGACGACAGTGCCGTTGACGAATACGAGCGATCTGCAGTACATCTTGCTGCTAAGGAAAATCATGTTGATTCTTTGAGATACCTTCTTGACATTGGATTGAGCGCAATTGCAAAAGATAATTTTGGACGTCAACCTCATCATTTGGCAGCTTACAACAATGCTGACGATACGTTAAATGAACTTCTGGAGTTAGAGATTGTGGAATTAGACGCCCGTGATGATTGGTTACGCACTCCATTGCACCTTGCAGCGAAAGAAAACTGTTGCGATGCGCTTGAAACTCTAATTGACTACGGAGCCAACATTTACGCTAGAGATAATTACGGGCGGCAGGTTCAACACTTGGCTGCCATGACTGGTGCCGATGAGAGTTTGGAATTCTTGTTTAGCCTTGAAAGACCTAAAGTTCGATTGAACGCACGCGATTCTTGGAATAGAACCCCTTTGCATCTTGCGTTTTTACATGGGCAAGAAGATACACAAAGACTTTTGCTTGGTCTTGGAGCTGACCCTTATGTGACGGATATTAGAGGAGAAACACCTGAATCTTTGGCCTAGAAAGGAGTATTTGCGTGTTCAATGATTCAAACGTCCAGAACTCACTGCATGGACTCTACATTATTGTAATGTACATGTGAACGGTGTTTTGCAGGTTGAATGGACCTACCTAAAATGATGTTTAAAATGTGAATTCAATTAATTCTTTTGCCAGACATAGACCTTACATTCTTGTTATATTTTCTGTTGTGACCAGTTTCACAAAATATGAACGCATTTCAGAATGGTAGAAAGTAGATATTTTAACTAATCACTTTCAGTAATCAAGGCTTCCTGCTTGAGAGTTCAGTAAAAAGTCTAGTTCATTAATTTTTATTTTGTATTGTACCATCTCGTCTTCTTCATCTTTAACAGTCGTACCCGCTCTCTAAAATTCAGGCATTTCTTCGCATCAACATATATTTAAAAAAATATGATACACTCTATAAATGAGAACTTAACAGAAACGTAGTTGCTGTTCACTCACATTAATGAAGGAAGCAACGCCTGAAAATCTCATTAATGTGTGTTTGATCGTGTTACTGGCTCAAGGTATCGGCTGTCCGTTGTCTCTGTCGTGTCAAAGGAGCAAGGTTTCTTCTGCAGCGGTCTGCTTCTGCCGTAGAGTGCTTTATAGTACTTTGATGGTTTTGAGGTGATTAATTTAAATACATTCCAATTGTCCATAACTCTGAAGGACCACCATGGAATGTTCATTGAACCTGCTTCTAGCTGTAAAGCTAATCGATTGGGAAGTAGTCACCATCTCACAGAATTAAACACTAGAAATCTGAATTAAGATGTATAATTAAACTGACTAGTTACAAATATAGAATGAGTTCAATATGCTATATGGAAGCATATTCCAATTAATTTAATAATCAAAGAACCAGATAAAGATTGTCTGTGAGTGCCTCGATTAATAAGCTTGTAAATAACAGTTCAATACAATTACATGAATTCACAACTGTGTGGAATTTATATAAAATAACCATATACATAGTGATGAAAGAGAAAATACACAATTTTTCGTGTGCTGTGTAGGTCTGGCAGATGATGATCCTGGCTGGATGCCCAGATGAGGGGGCGTTGTTGAGAGGTGTTCTCATTGAAGGCTTGATGACAGTCATTACCTTTCTGAGGACATGAATGGCATGCCTGTAGAACGGGCACTGATAAAGTTGGAACAATAAAATTGTTAGTCCACACGTTAAATGATGTGATTGAAATTGCTGTTGCAATATTAATTAACTCATTCTACCACAGAGGTAGTAACACAGTTCAGATTGATAACAATGCACAGCTTAAATGTTAAGAGTGAAACAGTTCAAATTACTGCGGATGCAATGATTGAGATATACGTTACGTAGCAGAGGCAGTAACACAGTCTTACACTCGCTTATAAATGCGGAAACGTGTAATCAGCTTGAATTAATATAATAGGCAATATACAAAGTATGCAATGCTTTGTGCTGTAACATAACACAATTAACAGAAGGTTCAATAAGCAGGGCCGGCGAAGTAAAATTTTCTGGCGTATGGAGTAAATTAGAATTGCGTGGGGGGGTAGGTTGAAGAGAGAGAATTAAAAATACACATTTCTAACATAACAATAACAATGTAATTTTTAACAACACTTTTATTTGACAATTTAATTTTCTTTTCTTATTATCTTAAAATAACATATATACCCTATATTTTTTAAGTTTACAATAGCATTTACGCACCATTTATAAAACTTATTTCAATATCTAATAAACTATTTTATTGCAAATGTTGCTTTTCGTACGTTGTTTTTAATTATAAAATCATTAATTAATTTTGTCATATCTAATGCTTTCGCTGCTTGTTGATGAATGTTCAAAAGATCTAATGAGTTTAAATGTTTTTGCACCATAGTTGTTCGAAGATAATTTTTTAACCGTCGCATTGCTGAAAACGACCTTTCGCAAGTACATGAAGAATTCGGCACAACAAGTAAAAACTTTACCAACTTTTCGAGTTCATAGCACAAATGTAGAATCGAAGATTCTTTCTAAAATTTTACAATATCGCGGAGTGAAGTAATTGCATAATTTTGTTTCGATGCTATATTTAAAAACATGTCACGATAAAGTATAAGCTTACTTCCATCCAAGTTAAATTCTTCGTCATCGTCATTTTTATTATAAAACTCAACAATAGCATCTACCTCAGAAGTCTTTCCAACTACAAAATTTTCGCATGTATTTAAAAATGACATAGTATCAGAATCAAAGCGGGTTCTAAACGACATAAGAACTTGGTCTAATATTTCAAAAAATATTTTTCTATAGCAATCGGACTCATTAGAAAACTTATGTTCGGTTTCTGTAGACGAATATTAATACCGTTTAGGAATTTTCTTTGCTCGTTTTATTTCCGGTTCATCAATGTCTTAATATGTCACTTCTTTGACAACATTATTCCGTAGACTTTCAAATTGTGAATTTCACATTTCGTTCATTTGATCTTCAATTTTAATCATTTTATAACCTTCATTAAATCCCAACTCAAGTTTTTGAAGTTGGGTATTTAACATTTCGATGCGTTCAAAAATTGCAATCGAAATATGCAGTAAAAAACAGAAATCAAATGACATCAAATTTTTTCGAAATCCAGCTGCTTTTGCTGAGACGCTAGAGTATGCATGTGTCGTATTCCAGTTCGAAAAATGTTAAAGAGGCTTTATAATTGTCTCCTGCTTGAAGAGTTTTCAGAGATTTGACTCGCATTCACCACCTAAATAAACAATGAAATGATAACGCATTCCTATAAACACAAATTTTAATATTTATACTATAACATTAATAAGATATTTTACCTGGTTGGGCAAAATGGAGATATGATAGGATTCGTTTCAGAATGCAAATCTTTGAAGATTGCTCATCGCTTTGGCGAATTTCTTAAGAAATTTACTAGTTCTTTGAAGGTGCCAATAAAGTTTTTTGCATTATAGACATCTTCCATTGCATCTTGTACAACAAGGTTAAGGGTGTGTGCTGTGCAATGTAGAAATAAAGCACGAGGTTCTTTTTCAATTATAAGACTTTTCAAACCAGAAATTTTGCCGCTCATGTTAGATGCCCCATCGTAACATCGTCCTAAATGATTGAAACTTAAGTCAAATCGCATAAAAATATATTTTCAATGATTTTCAATAAAGTGTTTCATGTTGTACTATGTGTCTGATAAAACCAACAAAAAACTCGAATTGTTAAATCATCCAATACAGTCCGCAGACAAATCGACACTTGTTCCATTCAGAGAGTATATACAGAGAGTACAGAGTTCCATTCGTGAAGCATCGGAAGTTTCATCTACAATTAACGAAAACAGCTTTGCGGACTTTATAAGTTGTAATTTTTGTCTTACGATTTCATTTGACATGCATTCCAATATTTCATTAATAATATCATGATGTAACCATGTACTTTGTGATCTAGTTAACCAAGTGGCGAGTTCCACCGAATTGTTGCTTATTGTTTGTAAAAATTGTATGAGGTTTGATTGTACGTCATTGCCACTTCCGCGTAACGCTAAACCTTGTCTTGCTAATAAATTTACAGTGCTAAATATTTTTTCCAAAGCAGTTCGATTGTCCATCATTTCTTTTTGTTTTTGATCAGATAATCGTTCACAAACATTTTTTTTTGAACTGCATATTGCTTATGCACAAGATAAGAGATCTCCAGATTCGTGTTTCTTGAAAGCAATGACTGCATTTTTCCAAAAATTGAAGCCATCTTCAACGAACGCTTTTAAAGATACGTGGCTGCTAGAACTTGAAGGAATTGCTGTTTTTCTTTAGCTTCAATGCAAATTGTACATGTAGCTTTCATTTCCGCCAACGTTGCTAGCGATTAAAGGAGGCAGGTATTTTCTCTCCTGAAAATTAACGTAAAGATAATTATTTTAAATAAAATATAAATAATGTTACCGTATTATAGGCAATTCAAAAATGTATATACAACTAAATGCAAATTAAATTAAGACTTGTACTGGAATTCAAAAATTAAAAATGTAATTTAAATTTAATATAATTAAATTTTTCTCTATTTATATTTTATATAGAATTTGAAATTAATAATTTTTAAATTAAAATGTACCTGGAGTAGACTGGCTTAGAGTTTTTGTTGTAGTATTTTCTGGCTTATTTATTGTGCTGGATTGTACATCTGATGACAAAGTAGATGTATCGTAAATTAAATTAAATAAAATAAACATACATACAAATTATAAATGCTTTTAACCAAACTATTGGTATATAATTATGAAAATGTTAATACTTACGTTAGAATTTGTTGAAAATAAAGATAAAATGGTTCCTTGTTTCTTTCTTTTACTCAAATTTATTGCGTAAATTGAAATTGAAGATAATGAAAGTAAACAATTAAAAACCGTTAATTTTTTACTCAAATCTGAAGCACAGACGTAAAATCGTTGGCTTACTATGCCTGAATAAACATAGTTGGCTATGTCCAAGAAAGACGTTTCTTGTTACATGAGAAATGTATCAATTACATTTGCGATTGATTCGTAAACAAACAATTATATCTCGGCGAGATAATCTCGCAGCGACACTGCATTTAGTTTTAAATATTATATTTGCTTTCCGAAATTTATTTAATACTCATGGACTTTTATACATGACCTAAATAAAGGGATTGAATCATGGTTAAATTGTATTAATATTTATAATTACTGTGTCTATTTTCAAATCACAATCATTTTTATTATTGCTTCAAAAAATTGTGTTATTTTTCTGTTTTCCAAAAAATTATTTTTTTATTTTCAATACTTTTGGGGTACGGAATTCCATAAGCAGATATTTTCCGCGTATGTTAGCGCCGCCCATGTTAATAAGTTGTTGCACAGAAGTTACGAACACGTGCGCGGCACGTTGCAAAAATAAAAGTTTAATTCGTTGCTGGAGCGACAAGAGGTTGACTCTGTGAATATCAGCGACGAGCTGCTCGGGCCGCGGGGCGGCTCGCTTCCGGCAATTCTAGTTGCGGAAAATGAGAGCAGCCATTTCAAATTGTTATGATTGACAGATTAGGACAATGGTTGGTTTAAAATTAAAATGAATTACAGCATTAATTGACATTTTACATGACCAAAATGATGTTGTTAGTATAGTAGTTTCTTCTACTAGAAACTGACTATCTAGGAACATTAATTACCGTTATTCAAAACAAGAGGAGCTGGAATTTAATAATAAAACAAGAGGAGCTGGAATTTAATAATAAAACAAAAGGAGCTGGAATTATTAAGTTAAAACAAACAAAAATATTTTTTAATGGTTCCCTAAGTTTTTGGAATATTGAAACTTGTTTGATGTGGTTAGGGATATACACCACAAGAGCACAGACACAAGTGAGCTATATATAGTTCATTTACATATTTTTTTTTATTTTATTTTAAATACAGGTTCTTTCTCTCAGGCAGGCGTTTGTTGCAACTTACTCCGTTGAGCCCTCCTTTGTGAGTAGCCAACTCGGCCTCATACGAGAAGCGACGCGGCATTTGCCGTGCCCTGGCAGATTCACATCTCCGTCAAGCTGGATCGTCCACTTGATAAAAATTCAAAATCAACTAGCCTATGATTTTGTACCGCAATAAAAAAAATGTACTCAACTATAAACCATAACAAAACCACATTCAAAAGCGGGAGTGCTCGCTTGACGTCAAGTGAGCACCCCCACGTATCAGAAATTCAAATTCAACTAGCCTACAATATTCTACTAATTTTGTACCAAAATAAAAAAAATGGATTCAACTATAAACAATTGAAAAACGGGCCCCAATGAAGCACTTGTCGCATACATTTCTGACTTTTTAAACACATTTTCAGTCAAACTTCGAAGTTGAAGTTTATAATGTAGTTTTGTACTATATTTTAATATTTTATGTAACTTTTATTTTAATAATTTCAAAATTTTATCTGGCCCCTCATCAGAGATATTACAGTCTAAAATCTCAAGCGGCTCCAAACAAAAGTGACCGCAATCGCACCCCCCTTCTCAGATATTCAAAATGAACTAATCTATAATCTAAATATGTACTAAATTTATAACAATATTGTGACGTCATGGATACTCACAGAGAACACAGACACAGAACTTTTATATAACATTTATTTACAAAGAAAACACAACAAATATTTACAATGAATTTACACTTTACACCCTAGCTATAACAGACCTGCTATCACCTGATCACGGGTGCGATCCCAACCCGATTGATGATCGGTTTCAATTGTGGCACTTGCCACTCCTACATCTGAAGCGCGCACAAAGCCAAGCTTTCGTGCCCGGATGTCACACTGGGACACGAAGTCCGTACTGGCGTACCAACTGATGG